TGTCTGTCTTGACAGTGCACGTACGTTGGTGACCTGGTGGGGTGGGTGGGGGTAGTCTGGGAACCATACCACAGCTGGGTTGATTGGAATCCTCAGTCGGTTCAAGCCCAGCGTTTGCCCATAGTCAATCATTAAAAAAGCAATTACCTTTAAGGAGAGTCAGTCTGAAAGGCTGGGAAGTCCCTCGACTCCCCAGAGTTGCAGGGTTCAGTGCTCACCATAGCAACAACCTTTCCCGGGTCCAACCGAGTATTGTCCGATTCCCGAAGGCTCCGGTCATGGACCAGTGAAACAGGAAAAATGAGTACCCTGATAGCTAAGTACATCTATGCAACCGGATTCTAGAGTTAGGGGCACGCACTGCTAGCTACCTTAGCCCCCCCCCACACACACACTCACCCCCTCCCATTATGCCAGTACAAGGTTGCCAATTGATTAAATCCTGCTACAGTTTGGGGTTTTAATGGTCTTCTGTTTTCGAAAATAAGGTCCTAAGGAGTTGATAGGTTTGTTATTTAATATTCTGACTTGCCACGATTAAAAACAGACAAACCCCGTGTTGCTCTGCTGTGTTTTCCTACGCGGCCTGCGGGGAGGGGACAGTGTGGACACGGAGTCATGCCCCTCGTACCTACGGAACCCATGGGAGCGGGTCGTGGTTCTCAACCTTCCTCATGCCAAGACCCTTTTGTACAGTTCTGTTATGAATCAGGTGAACCCTGTGAAAAGGTCGTTTGGCCCACAAAGGGGTCGAGGCCCACAGGTTGAGAACAGCTGCCCTAGAACAAGAGCAGCCCCACCTGCCCTCCCTCTTATTGGAAGAAGTCACCAGGCAGGAGGAAATGAGAGGAAAGCCCAGCGGGACCCTCCAGCCTCCTCCACCAGAGACAGCAGGGGCACCAGGAGGAGGGAGAGATTCTGGGCTAGTGGCTTCTCAGTGGCCTTCAGTCCCCTCTTGGTTTGCCTGGGCTGCTCATGGCGTACAGCTCAGAGAAGAGTTTCAACCAAGTCGCTGATGTAGCTTCTGTCTCCTCCCCCTCTGGTCTGGGCCAGTGCGGCAGCCAGACTGTGTCTGTCTGCCTGAGGAGATGCCCTGTCTGGCAGACTTGGAAGATGGACTCACCATCTCGGGACCACCAAGAATTTGGCCTCCAAGGCTCTTGGGCCCTCGCTAGAGTCAGACTGTAGCAAGAGCCTTATTGCTGGAGCAGCCTCATCTTAGACTCCGAGAGGAGCTCCCCTTCACTGGTTATGACGCCTCCTTCGGTGCATCTGGGGGTCTGCATCCCCGCACAAGAGGGCTTTCCGAACCCCGGCCCTCTGGCCACACTGAGGGCACTAGGGAAGGGGTGGGATTCCACAGGGCCCAGCGCAGTACAGGAACCCCCTTTGTCCCATCCAAGAAGGGTCAGTGAGAGAAGACCAGGGCCCATCTGAGGTTAGTAGTAGAGAGAAAAGTGTGCGTGTGGATCTTGAGAAGGGCGGGGGTCAGTTGGCGTGGCAATGTGTGTGTGTGTGTGTGTTTATTGTATATTGTGAACCAGTGGTGTGCGACTCATTGGTATGTGTGTGTGTG